TGCAGCAGAAAATTTAACGAAGTACCTTGAACAATTGAATGAATTGAACCAATTTAGAGCCGTCCGTGGAGCTCTACGTCTGATTTCTCTGCAGACTCGTAATCTGTTCATAGTTTTCTGATGAGGAAAGTATAGACTCGATTTTTCGGTAGGATGGATTAAGACCCTCCTTTACAACTCTATAAATTCCGCACTAATTTTGGCGGATGGGCTTAGGTTGTCAGTGTCTGCTTGTTTGTTTGTGCTGGGTTCCTTGAAATGCTGCCATTCCAATTCCCTATAACTTTTAAATTTCATACTTTAAGGAACTTCTTATCCGACCTTTGCCCAAATTTATCCTCGAGATTATCTAGTCTTATGAATGATTTATTTTCAATTAAATTGAGAAAAAAATTAATTAAAATATACATAAATTAGTTCAAACATCAATAATTATTAAAAAAAAAAATCTGGTTATCCAAAGTGGGTTTAACTAATGATATCGAAAAAAAATTATATCGTACCACTTATTTTTTTTTAGATATTTATATTGCTTTTTTGATATGATTTATTAAATTTTGGGGTATACTTACTTTTTGAATTTATATATTATTTTTTGGGTTCAGTTAATATCTTTATTTAAAATTTATCATTTTTAAAAATAAAATTTATTATTTTTTTTAATTTTTTGGTACGGTAATGTTTCCCTAACTAATTGTTAAGACTTTGTCACCAGTACACTTTCTTAATGGCAATTCCTTTTGTTTTTTCCTTTTAATTTGGGATATGGTTGAATTAAACAAAAATTATAGCAATTTTATGGAAAAGATTATGCTACCTACTAAAAATAACAATGTTAAAGGTCAAGCAATATATCATGTAAAGGATACGTTACAGCTATTATTGTGATTGATTATGAATCATTTTGATTAATTATAAATTTTTAAATAAATATTTTTACTTTTAATATTTTTATTTTTTATAACTAATTACGATTCTTTGATATTTAACTTTCAGTACCTCATTTAAGACGGTATTCGTCTTCATAGTATGATTAGTATCATTGGCTAAATGCTTTGTGAAATAGTGTCACTTCACTAGAAAAATGTTTGAGTCTATTTTATATTCTATTAATTAACAAAATGGTTTGTTTGGAGCTAATTTTTTTAGGTACAAAACAAAAGTTAAAAAATAAAATAAAAAAATTAGAGTTAAAAAAGCTTTTAAAACAGTTTGGAGTGTTTTTGAAAAAATTCCTTTTTTCTCTTGAAAGCCCTTAGATAAAGCTTATGTTTTAGCTTTTCCTTAATGTGGGTGAAGGCTATTTTTACACCCTAAAACTAATGGAAAATTGTTCAATAAGCCTGAGTCACGGATGAATTAGGCTTCTTTTCCTCAGAATCATCCAAAAATTAAAGTTTTTAGTCACTTCTAAACAAGATCAATATGTAAAGTAATAAAGAAAAACCAATGATACTTGTATCATAAATGTTTCAGAGATTCAGTGCTCGTAACGGATAATCGTAAATGTTAATTTCAAAACTTGAATTAAGACAATTTAGTAAAGGGCATATTCATTTTAATTTTATTTTATTGAGAAACAACTCAATTTTTTGGTACAATTTACAAATTTTATGGGGTGCACTCACTTTTTTTGGGATTTATGTATCATTTTTTGGGTTCACTTACTATTTTTTAAATAAAATTGAACCAAATACAATATGGGGATCTCTTTTGTCAATAGGTCCAACGCGATCTTTTAGTTATTAGGGACATAGGTTATGTATTTTTTGTAAGTAGATCCAATAGTCTATTTTTAATTTTATTTTTTTTCAGTAATATCCTCCGGTATATATGCCCCTCTCTCTCTCTCTTTCTCTCTCCTCGTGTCCCTCTTTGGTTCGTTTTCTTATTTTTTTTGCTTGATTTAAATTGTTTTGATGAAAGTCATGAGTCTCTTGCTAAGAGGAACATTTAGGGTTTCAAAATCAACTTTGGATTTACTAAAGGTGTTGCTCCTATTGTCGCCTCTACTACCTCTGTTGTCGTTGCAGTTGAGTAGAAAATATTTGTCTATGATATATATTCAGTTTTTATCACAGCAAAGCATACAATTCGAATTGTTCGTGGCTAAATTGAGTAATGTGGACACAAGGGCCACAAAAGATCTTAGGGGATTTTGTTATTCTAGAGTTATTTTGATAGATCTGCTTGGATTGAACTCTTGCAACAATTGGATTCTTGACCTCACTTAGCCCTCGACGTTTTCTTCTTTACTCATATATTCTTTGTTTCTTGCAAATGCACTAACACGAGCACACATATTGATGTGCAAATTACTCTGTGTATCATTGAATTTGAATAGTCCTAGTGTTTTTGGCTGAATTTTGAGCTTTAATAAGTAAATCTCTAAGATTTGATATGCTCAAATGGTGTTCGATGAAATACATTAAAAATTTAACAACCCAAATTCTATTTCAAACTCAAATTATTCAAACACAAAAAATTTGTTAATAGTGATGGTCGACTAAATTGGACAAAAAAAAATTGGTATTAACTAAAATATGCTTTAAATTCATGCATTAAAATTTAAACAATGACAACGAAATTCACTATCTTTATCAATGTCATTTGTAGTTGTTACTGTAATCGTGTGACTGTCTAGTTCACGTTATTATCTAGTTTTGTAAAAAATTTTACTGTGACTACAGCTGTGGTTATTACTGTAATCATGTGACAATCTTGTTTATATTACTATTTATTTCTTAAATTTTTGACAGTGATAATGACAATGACAGTGACTGTTACTGTGATCGTGTTACTGCTTAATCCACTACTACTCTATACTTCAGCCTTGCCGTCTTTTATAGTATCTCCATTCCCAATCATCACTCCACCCACACAGGCATTGTTGTTAATATGATCGTAATCTTGTATCGTTGTTACTGTTACTGTCTTGTTATTACTATTACTGTGTTGATGTTATTGTGTGGACCAACTTCCACAAAGCCCAAAATTTATTAACAAACAAAAAAAACTCAATGTCATCAAGTGTAAACATGTACATAAGATTCTGAGTTATAATCGGATTAAATATTTATATGGATGTGCTTTCAAATACTATGCAATACCAAAAATCAAACATTGATTTTATAATTTTTTATATTTTAAATAAAAACTAAAATTTTTTAATTACACAATTTAAAATTTAAATGAAGAGAAAGAAAAGAAACATAAGTGTGGATTGATGGGATTATTTGGCATTGAGAAATATTTTAATATGTTGATTGAGTTGTTCGACATTGGAGATCGTGCAAAGAAAATAATATTTTTTAGCAGAAAAAAAATGAAATAAATTTTGTACCATTAAATCAAAATAAATGACAATTGAATCAATCTTGATCGTTATTATATTTTTTTTATAAATTAAAATTTTAATTTTTTTACTGTAATATTTGATAAATCTAACCGTGAATCCATAAAATAGGACGAAAAGATGGATTTGGATTCATAGTGAAATAATCAGATAAGGATACCAACTAATATTCCACTACTCAAATTCATAATTGGACCAAGATTTGATGTATGTATTATTAAAAGGTCCACTAACGGATAAAGATAAGGATCTTATTATATAAAATGAAGTGCTATGCATATTGGCCACCCCATACATAACCATTGAAATATTTTTATTTTCATGACGTTTCGAATGAATGATTAAATCAAAACTATAATGTTTCGATGTACCCGGAACGTTTTGAGCCTTCAAAATATTTATGAGTTACATCTCAACGTTGCTATTGACCACCCAATCATGCCACTGCTTGAAATATTTTGTTTTGAATTTATGAGATGCAATAACCAATACGTCGATGATTAAATTCCAAAAATACCAATCAAAATACAATCATTACCCCCCCCTATTTCTAGTTGGTAATAATATCATTTTTTCTTCAAGGAACCATGGCACTCACTTCTTAAACCAAGTTTGAACTCGGATGAAAATTTTGAACTTCAATACAAAACTAAGAAAAAATAAAACGCCCATTTTTAACAAATTGTATCATATAAAATTTGAATAAACTATCAAATAATCGTCATATGTAACTTATATTATGGACCGGATCTCAAAAGCCAGGCGTAAGAGAAACAGATAGTCGAGAGAGGCTTTTTGCAGAATCCACCTAACTCAGCTAATAAATGCTTGGAAATTTACCAAAATCCAATATGAACAGTACCAATGCCTAGTTGCAAAAGTACTCGTCTTTAAGAACTGTAGTCCACATGGTCATTGTTGTATGAGAAGCCACCACCCAAGTAAAGCAGACTTGAGCTACCAGACAGGACCTCTTAACCATCTCTATTTAAGAAGTTGTTTGCAGTAGGTATTATTAGCACCATCTACCACATCACATTGAGGGGTCAAAGGGGTATGTCGGTTCGGCTAGTCCTACTATAGTACTGATGTGGGTGACCTGTGCTAGTCATCTAAGGTTCATATAACAAAATTAGAGCTCAACAATATTGAGATCCGAAGTAAATAATCATGCACAATAAAGAGCTTTCACGGTACTCTACGCTAACTAAGAAGATTCAATGGACAATGTAGATTCAACCCACAGCATACACAAAACACATAAAGAGTTAAGTGCTTCCACAAGTCCTAGGCTACACAGATAAACGCTTTGAGCATCAGAGAGCCTTAGACTGAGACCACACTGGTGGCCCCATTTCCCTCCATACATCGATTATCAAAAGTTATAATATTATCCAAATAAGAAAATATTGGAAGAATACCTATTAATCCAATTATTGTGGGGCTTCACTGGCAAAATTTCCTTCACAACTTTCACCTATGAACTCGTATAAATACATCAATAAACCTCAAAATTTCCTTTGTTGCTAACTCAAGTCACTTCTCAAATCTTTTACAGTGTAACTAATGTTCTTACTTCATCTGCAACATATGCATGCATTTGATAAAACAAGCAACAGTTGAAAAGAATTAAAGAATAGTTTACAGACTTTTTATTTGGCAGGGCGTATTATACAAGCAAAATTCATATTTCAAATAATATAACAAAGAAATAGCAATACCTACACCAAGTATCATCTCAAATTATAGGGAATACAATACCTATTACTGTAGTTCTACAAGCGAGCCTAGCACTAAGAGTGTGCACCAATTATTTGATCAGCATCGATCACCATTCCATGAGCTGGTCCTGGCCGGCCTAAGAAAATTCTTGGACGATTGGTTGTTGGAGGAGCTGTGAGTTGGATATGATTCGGTATTGGAGTTTCAGGTGAGTGGCCAGAAATGCATAGGGTGCCAGAATCATCTTGTACCCAGTAGACTTCTACCATAATGCCTCTAGGATTTTCTGCAGACTCTGACCCGGGAATCCCAACAAATTTTGCTCCTATGGGTATCTGCTTAATCATCGGAAACGTTCAAAAGAGAAAAAAGGGAATGTTAATCCGTTTGATTTTAAAATTTTGGTAATGTAGTTGGTATGAAAAATTATCAAGCAAATCATATATCAATTGCAATTACTTGAACTGTAGTTCCCGAGTCCAAAGTCAAGGTTGTAAGGCTCCCCTCAGCTGCCGCACTTTCTAGCTCTGCCCGCCTCGCAATGTTCAAAAAGACTTCTTCGAGAGTTGTAAGACCAAGTTGGATGTCTGCTATACCAAATTCCCCTTCTCTATCTTGGAGCTCAGCAAAAAAATTCTGTAGAAACAATTGACAAATGAAAGCAAGGAAAAGGAAAGGAATTAAACTTAAATTACTTCATATCTTTCTATAAAGAATGTCATATACATTCTACTGCCAAATTTATTTTTGTTGCAAATTAGAAATCACTTCATGTTATTTACCTCCAAGTTAAAATCACTGAAGATAAGATAGAGTTAAATGGGAATCTCTCGGTAATAGAATTTCTCATTGATTTTTGAGAAATATAAAATCATGGAAAAGGACATATTGACTCAATGAAAAGGCAAGACTAACTTCAAAAACTTAGGCCTTGATATCTAAGACTGACAGGTATGAGCCTTGCATTGCCAATTTGCCAGATATCTCAAAAATGGCATCTTCACTTGACCAACCCACGCTTGTGCATTAAAACAAAAAAAAAAGGTAAAGTAAAGAAGCCTAAGAGACTAAGAGTAGAAAAGCAGTAAGTATGCACAAGGATAGGGAAAAGAAAAGAAAAAACCTTCAATGTGCCAAGAAAGTAACGACAGAAATATCAACTTTCTAGTGCAGAATATATAATTGCAAGCGATTTAAACAGAAGCCTCAGATCCACCCGTGTGTGTTGCTCTCACCAAAAAATTTCTCATGAACAGATGTTAGGTACACAATAGCAACAAAGAAATTAGATAAATCCAGTAAAGTTGTATTCTAATTGCTGCGTGTCTATAGTTCAATGACAGAATAATATATCGCACTGAAATTTTGCCACTGCGCTGATGTAGATAGAGGCACTGATTTAGTGTCCATAAATAAATTCAACCAAAAAATAATAGAACTCTAGTTCAAGAAATTTAAAAACACCGTTGAATGTTGAGACTGTATAGAAATAATGAGAGGCGTTTTACCGTTAATAGCTTCTCCTTCTCATGGGGAATAATATAGGTATGAAAGGACTTGTTCTCCTCTTTTGGTACCACATCCAAATGCTGCCAAGATAATTCCCATGTCAAAGAAAACATCAAAGGCTTTAAAAAATATTTAAACAGGTGGGGTCATCCAACATACATCTTTAAAGAATTGTTTCACAGCTTGATGCTGACGTGCACTTGCAGCACCCCCTCCTCTGCTAGGAGTCCCGTTAGTGCCCTCAGAGAAGCTTATGTTGGCAATGAATCCAGTTCCAAACTGTGACTTCAACCTGATTGAGGTTCCAATGCAGCGAAGCCTACCCTTTGCCATGATTCCTATGCGGTCACTCAAAATGTCAGCTTCTTCCATTGAATGTGTAGTTAGGATAATGGCCCGCCCTTTCTTTGCATCCTCAATTATGTCCCAAACATGCCTCCGAGTTATTGGATCCATACCAGTTGTCTGCACATTGAAGGAAAATTTCCATGATCAAAGAAGTAAATGATCCTATACAAGGGACGTATATTTGGTAATTTCCATACCGGCTCATCTAAAATGACCAACTTTGGTTCACCGATGAGGGCTATTGCGACACTGAGGCGGCGTTTCATTCCTCCACTGTAGCTACCAGCTCTCATTCTGGCTGCCTCAGTAAGTCTCACCTCTGCTAATGATTTCTGGCCAACCTGAGTTTTAGTTGTACATTTTCACAGAAAATGTTAACAAATGGAATCAATTCAAATTCGAGTGAGCTTATCCAGCACAGTAATAAAATTTCTACTGGTTTGGCTTCAATGAATATCACTGCAAATATTTGTCAAAAGAAACAAGTAGCCAAAACAGTTTAGGTTTGTATAGCACTCACCGCTTTTATTGTAGCAGGAGGTAGACCTTTGATACTGGCAAAGAGGTGGAGGTGCTCTTGGCCAGACAATGCATCCCAAAGAATGTCAAACTGGGTAATGTGGAACACAAATTAATCTCTTCTATCATGAGTATCATTGGTAAGCTTGAGATAATCAAGTACAATAATATTATTTCTAAGAAACAAAAAGGAAGAGGATAAAGGATTACCTGTGGACAAACCCCTATTTTTCTTCGAATGTTTGACATGCCGACGGAGTTTCGAATGGAATCTCCGTATATTAACGCTGTTAAAAGACATTTCAGTTTCATATTTTGATTCTTCATAACCATAGCCAAAAAAAAAATATTACAATTGATGAACCCAAAAAACGTGAAACAAAAACTAGTACCATCGCCACCAGTGACTGGAGTAATTCCAGTTAAACAGTTAATTGCTGTTGTTTTTCCAGCTCCATTGGGTCCAAGAAGGCAAAATAGCTGATCCTTAGCAAAGTTCACCCATAAGCCCTGAAGGCAAGATTACATACGTCAGCTAGTGTTTAGCAGTGACAATGATGGTTATAGAAAGGAGACTTCAATGATGATCACAATTCTGAGGCGAATACATATAATTAAATTTAAGTCTTCCTTTCCTCAAGCTGTTACCGGGCACAGAGCCAGCATGGGCCAAAGTAATTAGAAGACTCCCATGTTTTGTGCTCCCCAAGAGACCCGAATAAAAATTAATAGGATGCAACCCTTAGGTGTCCCATTGTTAGCAAAGATAAAGTCCCCTATTTGTGAATAATTCACCATTCTCAAAGTTTTGAAAGTGAGTTAGGATAAGTGGTCACATCATACTAAGGAGAAACGTTGGAAAAGAATATAAACTCTTTCCCACGTTTATATTCTTTTCCAACGCTTTGGTAATGTAAACTGATTCGGCCAGGGAGTATGTCTCCATTTTCATAAATACATCTTCAAATACTGAACCCTGAAAAAATGTTTTCCCTAAGCGACTATATCTTTTCATTTACAAATTTTATGAAAAAGTACTTCGCTGCTTCATTCATGCCATGAGAATTCTTCATCCTTATTTTACCCACAGAAAGAAAAACAATAGGAGAAAGAGCAGCGCTACACTAACCAAAAAAGTTGACCAAAACTATAGGTTATGAGAATTGAGAATCATAAACTGCCACTCCAGCAAATCCTCAATGATACCTAGTTACCTACCAAATAAAAATAGACCTAAACTGACAGTCTTTCCCACTATGACCACCGCCTTGATACGACTAGCATTACTTCCTACTCTCTCCTATTACCTTCATGGCTGATTTGTCCAGCCTGATACATACTATCATGTTAAAATTTGCGAGCGAAAAACCACACTGGGGCCAGAAGGGTTGAACGTTCATGCTGATGACTAACAAAAAAGAATGACCTCACACCTCTATTTGAGGTGTAGATGCCACAACAAAATGCTTATTTGAGCAGTGTATTTCTCTTGCTCCCTAATCTGGCCCTTTAATTTATTTGTTTTATCTAATAAGACAGATTTGCAAAATGAGTGAGTAATTGGGCAAAAGGACGCCATCAGATTTGTGGACCCATCTGAGATGGGAACTCCATAAATTGGGGCCTTACAGTTAGAAATAGGTGTAAATGCTCATAGCACTTATTTTAACAATGGATTCCTCTTGTCCCCTCAACTGAAACACTATAAAGACTATCTCTACTTTAAAAACATGATAAGGTGATGGCAAAACTAGTGATACTTTTGGCAGAAGGACATCTATACCTTAATGGCATGGTAAGGTGAAGTCCTTTTGCATTTACAGCAACCGATCTTTGTTGTGCCAGGATATATCTTTACAAGACCACGTATTTGAACTGCAGTGTCCTGATCAACTACGCCTTCACTCACTTGCTGTTTCACGGTGTTTTCTTCTTCAAGAACATCCTCATCATCTGGAGTAATATGTTCAAATTGTGGAACTGAACTTATGCAACTACAAATGCCGCCCTCTAAAATATAAAAAGATGCAAGGTCAGTCACCGAAACCATCCAAACAGAAGAGATAAAACAACCGGTATATCTTGCAAATTGAATTACCTTGCACCTTGTTTCCCCCTTTTCCTGTCCAGTACCCAGGATTCAGAAAATAAAACACTGATTTTCTCACACCGGCTGAGTTTGGGATTATATTGTCGAAGTAGATAGCCAGTATAAACCATAGACAGAAGGTTGATATGAGCCATATATAAATATCATTCTGCCACAAAAAATGACAAGTTATGAAAAGGTAAGCCACAATGGCAACTGCTACGCTCCACTTGGGTCAAAAGGAAATAGGAAATGCACACACATAGATATAGATAGGTTAAGAAGAAGAAGATATTCAGGACCACAATTATCAAATAAATGTTTTTGGGCTGCAAGCTGTGGACTTACAATTGTTATCACACACTCGGTATCATTTGGCGCACATTTTGCCCTTCTACTCCAGCTGACTCCTGGATCATCGGGAGATGAAGTTGCACCAGAAAGTAATTGAAGAGCTTCGGCAAGAAGATTAGGTGGGAAAAATGACCAGACAATCCGGAAGGGAGCAGCGATGCTATCATTGTAGGGAAATCCAAATGTGGTAACAAGCTGCAAAAACAAAAACAGAATGGTTATGATGGTTGAATCAGTACTTTGTGCTCTAGTATTTTAAGTAAAGAACTTACCTGCGTCAGAAAACCAATGATAAATATGGAGAAACCCACAGTTGTGGATGAAGTTGACTTGCTAATGAAGGCCGATAGCATGAAGGCCAAACCAATCTGGCATAAAAAATCCAGGAAACATAGATCAGCCATATCTTAAAAAGAACATGCATTATCTAAAATTGGTTTAGGGCGTGCTTGGTAATAAACAACTTTGATGACTACTTCAGACTGGCAGCAGGAAACTTACCATATTGAATTGGAAAAGAAAGAACAGAAGGAACACAACTGGAAACTCGTTGTTCAAGAAAAAGTCAAATTGAAACATCATCCCAAAGAGCACAATGAGGAGTGATGAAAGAAGTGTAATAACTCCCTCCCATGTGAGCCATGATAACCAGTAGGCAGTATCATAAAGGCCCATCATTGTCATTGCCTGTCAAGCAGATGCCAAATGAAAATATGAAAAATGGGGAAAACTAATTCTCTTTTCACGATTGAACACAATAACTAGTCTATACCTGGCGAAGTTTGAGTTCTTTCTCGGTTATCAGAGAACTAATTTGCAAGACGAAACCAAACATGGCAATTGCTAGGAAAAATGTTGGTCCTACCGTAGTCACAGCAGAGAAGACTTCAAATGCAGGGTGTGCAAATTCCTTCAGACTGACCACCCAACTGAAGTTTGGATCTGAACAAGTATGTACCCATGGAATAAGTGTTGCATTTATTCAAGCTAGGAAAACGAATATCTCAGCTGTTGTAACACAGATAACAAGATTAAAGATCACATAGAATAGCATTATGTGTAAATTACCTCCGACCAGAGACCTTGCAATTTCACGCTCGGCAGCAATTTGAAGTGGAATTTGGAACTTGAATGTGGGATCTTCAAAATTCCCTCTCTTGCTCATTGCAGTAGAATTAGTCTGTATTCCATAGCTTATTACAGTTGCATTTCTTTCCATAAAATGTATAGCTCCAGGACAATGCATGGCATTGTTGAAAAGCCATTCATCCACTTCAGCACTTGTTCTGAATGATTTGACCTGCACAGCATATTGCAAAAATGATAGCTATGAACCTACAAGATATGAAAGTAAAGTTTGGATTCCAACCCAATGCCCTAAAGTCAACAGAGTAAGGAACATCCTTCACGACACCAGGCAAGACATTATGGAGTCTATCATCAACCTGTTAGGCTGGTCTCGGAGGCTGTGGATAAGAAGCAACCATTTCATGTAGAACAAGAGGAAATTTCAGCCAATTATACTTACCAAAATCTAGATGCTATCAATCGTTTTATTCTAGAGTCCGTGATCAAGTATGACAAATTAGACTTGTGTCAAAAGTTTCACCACAATGAATTTAGAACACCCAATATAAACAAGGAGTTCATCCCAAATAAGCACTCTTAAGGCCATTTCCTCCTAGAGAAATTCAAATCTTGACTGCCAAAATAATAAATAAAATAAAAAGAAAAACTACCGGTGCTTTTTCGACATTCGGCCATCCAAACACAATCAAAATATAATTCATTAAGCAATTACAAAAGTGGACGAACTTTTGTATCCGCCAGTGACCTCCGCATACAAACTGACCTCGACCCAAAAAAAGTCCAAAATAAACTTGCACAATCCAATTGCAGAAGGTGTAACTTTTTTTTTTTTTGCTACGTGTGTCCAAGCTTGCGCTGCACTGATTACTCCATTGAGCTCAGCCGCTGACCACCATGGCTTGAACTGGTCTAGAGTATGTCTCAAAAGGACAAGGGTGGCTAGCGCTTTGGGGGTGTGGAAAGGGTTGAACACAGCCTTCTGGTTATCAAATGATAAGCCCAACCACTGGACCAGCTAAGGTTTGCAGAAGGTCTAACTTATTTGATTCCATAGAACTAAAATTTGAAAATACCAAAAAAAAAGTACTTTAAATGTTGAATAATTCAATGGAATTCACAAACTTATTTATCAACCTCTAATCTATCATCTCCAAATTCAAACTCAACTCAACTACAGAAAAACATTAGACATTTCTCTTAGAAATAAAAAATTCCACCATTCCTCAGTTAATTCACTTCAACCAAAACTAGAAGGAAAAACAAAAGAATTAAGAAGCTGAATATTTAGTTCATACCTTAGTAGAAGGAATAGGCCTTCCAGGATTGTTGTCCATAATACTCCTAACGATCGATCCAATTCTGGCACTCTCATTCCCGCTCCAAAGAAAGTCGTAACACGGAAACCTGATGTAGTACTTGTCCTCGCAGGGAAGAATCGGAGGAGACACCACCGCTTCGGGATCTAAGACCCTCTTAAACGACGTCGAGGAGGCGAACCGACCTTCTATGGCTTTTTGGATGCAGAACATGAGGAAAATGAAAAACAGCGAGGAGAATAGTTGCAGAAATGTGGCTCGCTTGTTCCTCCATGCGAGAATAAAATTCTTCCTCAACAGAGCTATGTATTGTTGGAGCAGTAGAGGTAATCCTCTCTGCAATTCCATCTCTCTCTCTCTCTGTAATTCGATCTTCTTTGTAACTTTGTTCTGCTCTCTGCTCTCTGCTCTCTGCTCTCTGCTCTCTCTCTCTCTCTCTCTCTCCCAAGTCTGTGAGTTTTAGTTTGAGAATGGGCAGAATTTTATATGCAAGGAAGGAAAGAAGCTTTGACGTTGAAAAACGCGCGGTTTATGAGCCTATAGGAAGAGGGGGGTAATAGTAATTACATTTGCCCTGAATCTTTACTGAAATAACAAGATATGCCACTTTCTCTCTGGTGTGGGCCCCTTAGTGGAGATTTAATTATTTTCGGATTAGAAATTTCCTTTGCCTGATAGGCTTCTTAATCTTTCGCAAATCATAATTAATTAATCGTGCTAAAGTTGAATATAATATTCAAACCGTGTTAGGCTAATATTTGCATCTTGAGTTATATTTGTTATTTGGTTGAGTGGAATTTAAACGCGTTATGTTCGATGGACACACTAACTTTAACATGACACGATTTACCCCGTGTGAATATCTTTAAATTTCGTCACATTTGGTGAGCTGATTGCTATAGAATAAATAGGTTTTCTTTTTGTTCAACGATTAAAGGTAATTGAGTCAATTTATGGACACATCGATTAATTCTCTCTTCAATTCGATCAAAAGAGTATTCATTAGGAATAAATCCTTCATTATTTAATTCAAATAAATTATCACAATTTAAATTCAAAATACTTGAATTTAAAACTCGTTTCTATTATCAATTGAGTTGTCTTTGGAGTTAATAAATGACAACTTTCGCGCTTACAAGTTGAGATTATAGATACAATTTATGGTAATTGTGACAAGACCCGACTCCTCTTTAATTTTAGATTTTTTCTTTCAAATTCTTTTAATTATAGGATAATATTAGAGTCGGACCATAAAAATTTTATCCCTTATAAATATATTAGTTTCAACGTAAATGATCTGTCTTTAACTATACTAGAGATAAAATTAATTAAAATGCATATGAACTGTTCAAAATTCCTCTAACTATTCGACAAAAAGAAAATATCTTCAATTCTTTAATGCTCAAATCGTTGATTGGAGCAACCAATACTATTGGGGCCACCCTAGTGTCGTGCATTTCTGGACCCATTCCACCCCAACAAGTGCAACAGGGCAAATCCCAAAGTAATAGGAAACACGTGATCACCTCGAAAGAATCCTATTAATCAGCCTCCGCTACGAAACATTCGATGCCTGTAGAAGACAAAGAAAGATTTTTAGAAAAATTTCATTCACACCCCCTAATAGATTGTTATAACTTTAGAAATTTGCATTTCAAAATATTATTGATAAGCCCTATCGGTTTTTGTCGGACCGTGAAAATAACAAAAATGATGATTTCATAACTACCTCGTGTACGTAAAAATTGATATGGTATGTGTGTGAAGTAAAAATTCGACAGAGAGCCATCAAAATTTGAGTTTAGGAAAAAGTTAAGAAACATAAAATGATTCAAATGGAAGCCCCAAACCGAAACCGTTTGAATAATCATCAAAGAACAGGACATATAAATTCCAAGAGAATGTTGCGATGTTGCAGATAATACGAGGGTGTTTTTCAAAATATAACAATTTACAGGGATGCTATTGAAGTTTTCTCAATATTCAAAAGTTAGTTTTTTCCACCTAGTTGTGCCGTGGCGGTTTTCTTTCACAATAAAAGGGATAAGGGATACTTCAGTCATTTAGGCTGAAAATGGTGAAGGGCATTTCAGGCATATCAATATATCACCCTGGCATGCAACAACTACAAATTTGATTACATTTCCATCCCGTTATTCTAGATAATTTTAAGAGATACCGTCATGGTTTAAGATATTACATACTCAGCCACGAATTATTATTAATTCTCTTATAAAGCACAGATTGTTTGAAAAAAAAAAATATAGCCAGTTTCCCTGACCCATCACCGCCACCCCAAGCTTACCTCTAACGGCTTGATCCCGACCATCATTCGTCCCTCCCACTAATCTCTTACACATACACACGCACACGCACAAAATTTGGAGGGACTGGGGGAAGAGATTGGCTTAGTCAAGCTTGCAAAAGTGGAGGGTTCAAAGAGGGTAACAATAGAGAATAATATATACACACAAATAAATCTTGTTTATCATTCTTGTTATGAGCAAAGAGTAATTGAAGTGCTTTTGACACAACCGAAGGGTAACAAAACCTAACAAAAGGAGTAACATGAGATTTTAGAAATAACAAAAACATATTTTAGAGTTTTGTTAAATAATGGGGATGTTTTTGTTATTTTGTATATATTATATAGAAAAAATTAATACATCAACGGTCCATTTTAGCTTTTAAAACACCAACAGAAAATGCTAGTCAAATCAAACAAATAAAACCAAAAAATGTAGGACCATAGGAGGAGAAAAAAATCCAGTGATGGACCGTATGTCACAATTTAGTGCGAAAATATTCTAAGAATATTCTACCTTGGGTGTACCACTAGTTTACATTCGATGAATTTGAATATAATACAGAAATATTATATTTTTTAATACTTTGTTGTTCTTTCCCTCTAACAAGAACTCGTCATTCATAATATTTTATTATTTTTAATTCATAATTGTTAGCACGTCTACCGCGTAGAGTATTCTTTCTTGTCTCTATTTGATTATTTTGAGGTCTTATTTTTTTGCTACTAAAAAAAAAGGGGGGGGGGTGGGGGCACCTAGAGACTATTTTGACAGATTCTCATCGGTAGAATCAAGGTTATTGGTGTATAACGGTCAACTATTAAACTTCAACATAGACTCAAAATTTTGAATTTTCAACTTTAAAATAAAAAATTCGACCGATACTCCACTAAATGGCCTCACTTTTAAGGTTAAGACATTTTAGTATATGGCTGGATTTGGGGAACACGGAGTCATCAATACATGAATCTGTCCGGGTCCATACTGGTGATACAGCCAGGAGAGAGAATGCTTTACAACATGCGTATTTCGTGGCTTGATATATGTGGGGATTGATGAATTTTATTTTATTAAAATAAAAATATATATATATTTTTTTTGTAACTGGTTTGATTGTGAAGAGTTTTAAACACTTTATATTTTTTAATACAATACCGACACTTAAACAGCTGTATTACGACCCCTTTGACAGAAAAAAAAAATGGTAATGTTAGACTAATTGCAAAAAGAGAGAAAAAAAGAAAAAACAGATGAGGTAAAGTGGGGCAGAGGCCGGGCCTACCCTAAATTACTTGTTTCTTTCTAGTTTAAGATAAGGTTCAGCATTGACACTTACAGTAGTATTACGACGGTTCCGACAGAAAAAGAAGCGCGTGAATGTTGCCGAAATTCAAATTCAAGTTTATTTTTATGCGAAGACCATCCATTATTTGACCAAAATATGAACGCACGAAGGAGGGAGAGATGAAAAGGAAGTTGCAGAGTTGAGGTAAGGGGTCAAAGATGTACGTCTCTGCCAAACGTAAATGTCGTAGGACCATTTCTCAAATTAGCAAATATCCATGGACATAAGGGACACTGGAAAAGTCATATATATTTTTTGGGAAAGACTACAGCTACTGTACTTCATTCGGTATTTGTGGACATGGTTTCATTAGTTTTCGTCACCTTATCTCAATTTTTTTATCTAATAAAAAATATCATAAGTGTAATTTTTTTTTTATTTTTTTTATAATCAATTATTCTAAATACATCAAATCATAATTTACAACCCTTAATCAATTCGAGTATTATTAGATCCACCAAAAAATAAAAAATAAAAATAGAGATAAATAATGTGACGATTGACAACTAAATATTGAATAAATACTAAATGATCATTTGATTTAATTTTTTAATTTTATTTTTGGGTTATGGTGCAATATATTATTATTATTATTATTATTATTATTTATAAAATTATTAAATTAAGTACAAATAATATTTTAATTTTTCATGCCTATTATTAAGCCATCGTGAACAGCTTGGATGTTGAGGAATTTCCTAGCTTCTTCCTTCGGTGGGTGTAATGATTATTGCCAACTTGCTCTATAAATAATATTTGTTATCCCATGTTTTTCTCACCAGGTCGTAGTGCAATGATGTCCTGACACGTGGTGGATTTTAGGGGTGGATAACCCACTATGTTAGCTGTTCACCGGTAGGTATGATTGCGTTTCGATGATGCAGTTTTAGGTTCATACCAACTGGTCACGGACTCTATTTTTTAGGAATTTTGGATAAAATAATATCCGGCCCCACCTTGTGTCATTTGCTCCCTTGTTTAGATACATATTTTATACTCCATATTATTACTTCAAAATATTTTCGACCAAAATAATAATATTTTTAAACCTACATATAACCTTTTAAATAAACCCATCTAACTTATAGGTTTAAATAGTTCAATTGAGATATATTTTAACAAAAAATATTTTTATACTAAAAAATATCTAGGATATAATCATTTTGAGAATTTTTTACTAATTTAATATTTATACCATCATTCAATATTTCATACAAATACAAAATTAGATGAAATAAATGTGGGGTCTATTACTTCTTAATACTTGAACCAAACATGAGATGAGTAAATATTATTACTATAATTAATCAAAGGCCCGGATAGATGGGTATGAGATGAACAAGTTTGTCCAATTCGTTATTATCTAATGCCTAAAACAAACACACTCTTAGTATTTGACTATGACATCCAAAAAAAATAAATGAGGTATTATATATTATTTTTTTAGATATTTAAATTATTTTTTGGATAAAACTTATTAATTTTTGAGGTATACTTATTTTTTGTGTTTATTTATTATTTTTTATGTTTACTTATTATTATTTTTTGGTATACTTGTTAACTTTTTGGGATAAAATTTATTACTTTTTATTTTTTTTTAATTGTCGATATGATACTAAATTCACTGATATACATTTTATGCAATGAATTCTGCTTGCAAGAGATCTCATGTAGATCAATAACCATACACTAATAAA